AGTTGCAACCCATCGTTTTTGCCCCCCGGGGAAAAAAGGGGTTTTTTTTTTTTTTACTTTTTTTTCCCCCCCCGGACGTTTTTTGGGGGTTTCGAGGAAAAAGTTTTCCACCCCCCCCCCCCCCCCCCCCCACGACCTCGGCTGAGTCATGTAGCCGGTGTGCCTTGTCAAGTGCTCAGCCCGACATGCATGTACTTCGTATGCTCCGATGACGCGTTGCTTGCGTAAACACCGGGTCGTGCGTTTATCATTTTTGTGGCAAGTTGTGCTCTTGCCGGCAGGTTACCTGTCGACTTCTCTGTGTACGCGGGAGCTTCGGCGACGAAAGGGTCATGTTGGCGCCCCAAGTACGCACGAATGACCTTCGTATTTTTCTGCGACACCTTCGAGGCCGTTGTGATGAGTTTGACGCTCGTGCAAACTGCTGCTCCTTGCTGACTGCTCCCTCTGCTGCTCCGCACCTCTCCCACTGTTTGTCTCTGCCGCTGCTGCTGCTGCTGCTGCTGCTGCTGCTGACTCGTATTTCTGCCAAAATCGTTCCTTGACCAGTCATCGCTTCCATCTGACCGTCGGACGGCAGCATCGGGGCACCACCGCCAACATCACCACATGGCATGGCAACTGTTCGCGCCGAAAGCACGATCGTCGCCGTCCGAGAGAGCCGCCGCAAGCCTGAACTTGAAGCGACGCACGCGGCTAGCCGGGGCGGACAGCGTGTCGGCCGTGAGCCCCGCGCAGATGTACAGAGTAACGGAAGGGTCTTCGTCAGGTAGGGGACGGGGACAAAGGCGGCAGCACGAGCAGCGATTTTCCCGAGACGACAGCGGCGGCAGAGAGGACGGCAGGAGCAGCATCGAAGCGTTACAGTCCCCGCGTTCGGCGGAGCTGTTGACGGCGTACGCCTCGGCGTCCTCGGCTGCGGCCGCAGCGCCGCAACCCCCGTCGCAGCAACGACCGCCGTCAATTGCCGAGTGCATCGGGGGGGGAGTGGTGACTCAGGGGGAAGGGAGACCGGCGCTGCCGCTCTTGGACGATGAGGACCTAACCCAGCTCCGCGCGGGGCAACGGGTGCAGAAGCAGACGAGGCAGGGGGGGTCCGGGTCGGGCAGCGTGGTGGTGGACGTGCGGGCCGACCCCGATGTGGTGTTGGGGCTGCTGACCAAGTACGAGGACTACGCGGAGATGATCGACACCGTGAGGGAGTGCGAGGTGTTCCCGCAGGGGGAGACGGCGGACTCACGGAAGGTGAGGAGAACAGTTGGGAACGGGGGGGGGGGAGGGGATTCTGTGCCAGAGCATGGCCCACAGCAGCAGTTGTGCGGTGGTTTTGAGCGATTGCTGCGTCAGCAAGTGACGTGGTGCTTTTGACGATATTTGGTGTGTGGTTGGTGCCGACGTGTAGCGCGACGGGTACTGCTGTGATATTTCTCGAGTATGCGATAATATGTGTGTCGAGCTGCCAATGTGATGAGAATGGCTTTTTACTTTTTACATCGGGTTTCTCCGATCGTGTGCGAGGGTACACACATGTGATAGAAGACGGGCGGGGGGGCACGCACGCACGCGTCGAGTTTGAGAATCGTTCGACTATCCAACGCGACGGTGGTAATTTAGTTGGATGATCAATGAGGCCCTTTTGCGTTTGTAACGAGGTTCGAAAAATCAAGCTGTTCGCGAAAATGAGACCATATTATTTGGCTCTTTCGGCGTCGGGGCAACTTTTCAAGTTCTTACGATCGGAAGTAAAGATCAAAAGTCCGCCCGGCGGGAGGGTGTATTTCTTCAGTCAGGAGACCAAAAGTTACACCCAATCCTCGCTCATCTTGATGCCTCACCAACACGCATGTCTGACGATAACACCCACATACAACACACGCGCATTTATTTTTGGTCAGGTGGGAGTGATGGTCAGCAGGTTCAAGCTCCACATCCGGGTAGTGATGTCTCTCCTCCGAGAGCGCAACATGGTGCAGTTCGAGCTCGACCCGGACTGCACGAAGGCCGGCCGCGCGGTTTTGCGAGAGGCGACCGGCTTCTTCTACGTGGAGTCCCCCCCGGACCGACCGGGTTTCTCGCGGGTGTGGATGCTGGCGAAGGTGGACGTCAACCGCTTCGTGCCGGGGGCCATCGTCGACTACGCCGCCGGCCGCGCGCTGCCCCGCGCGTCGAACTGGATCAAGCCCACCTGCGAAGCGGCGCAACGGAGAAAGCTGCGAGCAGCCACAGCGTAAAAGGCTGCGAGCAACGGAAAGAGTGATGTTTTATTTATCATGAATGGATGACCGGGGTTCCGCCCCCCTGTGGCAGCAGCGGTGTCCCTTTTAGAAGGGGGCCCAGTGTTTTGGAGTCGTGGCGGGGGGGAGGGGGGAGGGAGACGATCGGAAATTGGTTGCTATGTCCGGAGAACATGTTGCAATGGGTCTCCTTTTTCCTTTCGATACTGCCGGCGTTCCCCCCGTTGATGTCAATCCGGGTCTTAACTTTTTTCTTTCCTCGCGCGCGCTCGATGGGTGCGTTTGTCTCGACGCGGACATATGGGCCACATGCCTGTATTTTCCGATGAGAATATGCACACCGTTTTGGGATACGCGTGACGTGACTTTTGAGGGCGCGAGGGTGCCCAAGTAGGTGCATAGCGCTTGCGCTGTGGGGCCCGGATTGCGAGTGCAGTTGGTAGAGACGTGTGATTCAAGGAACAGAGCTGCGAGTGGTGCAGTGAGATACGGCGGCTCCGGCGTCTGTTCGTTGGAATTAGTTTTACTGGTACTCTCTTTTTCGAAAATGTAGTGTGAGTTTCTCTTGGCAAAAAAAAACGAAATTGAGATTGACTTGTGGACTTTTATGTTATTTTTGTTGCATGTGAAGGCCTGTTAGCATTGCGGGGCGGCCGGGCCCTCCGTTGGAGAAAATATTGTAGATCATCGTCAACAAAACTCTCAAGACAAGACTCTTGGGTGTCCGGGTTGAAGGATCAATGTTTTCTCTGTGAGCAGAGGGCTGGTGTCGCTTCACGTGGATTTTGTAAAGGGAGGAATTGGAGACACCTTGGGCGAAGTGTTGGTGCGACATTTAAAAAACGCTGAGAACAATCGAGTGTGAATCCACGTGGATAGAACAGAGGCACGCGTTACTGCTTCAAAGTAAAGAGCTACGTGCGCCCTCAAAAGCTACAACCGCCGCAAAGAGCTCGAGCCTTGTCGAGGGGAGCGAGAGCACAGTGCAGCCTGCCTACGGCCCCCCTTCATCTGTCTCCCGTGTATTTTTGCGGTGTCCAACCGTGTAAAACAGGGAGAGATGGGTACGCGCCTGCGACTCTTGCCGGCTCGTTTTGATCGCAATCAGCGGGTGGCAACCACGCCGTGTGATTGTGCAAGACGCACGTCAGACAATACATGACACACGCGAAACGAGTAAAATTGTACTTGGTCTCCTACCCGCGGGGGATGGCAATGTCAACCCACAGCTACAACTCCATCGAGGCAATTTTGCGTGACTACAGAAAAAAAAACATACGGTTCTGTTGTTCAAAACTTCGGTAAATCGCACCGCTCGGAACGGGCGGACAACATGTTAGCACACACTCATTCTAAACTACTACATCGCGAACACAGCATCTACCAACTCGTCTCTAAGGCCGCCGCCGCCGTCTGGTGCTGGTGCTGCTGTCATCGCGTGACGCCAAGGATGCTTCGGAAGAACTCGTACGCCACAAAAAAGAAGGCGTTCGCCGGGATCTTGTGCAGCAGTCGAGGAGTAGCCCCCTTCAAGAAAGCCTGCCGAAGGAAAAGACGTTCGTTCAATCAGCGTGATGAACTCCCTTCGACAAAGCCTACATGGCGTTGCTGGATCCACGTGAAGTGGATGTTCTGATCTCGAGGTACGGTAGGAGTACATTTTTTGCATACGACTCCAACCGGAAATCTGTCAGAGGAAGGCCAGCAGACGAGGACACAGATTGGCTGTGGACACGCAGGGACTACACAGGAATCTAGTGATGACCAGGTTCATCCAAAGTTGCCCCTATCAAGGTTCGAATGGTCACCACGAAATACACAGCGACAGCGCGCTGCAAACAAGGACGAATCACCCGAGAGTAAAAACTCCGTAGATGAGAGGCATTTGTCTGAGCAAAGATGGGAAGAGAGATAAAAAAACTCCTGGCTGTCGGCGTGAATGCCGTGAGCATAGCATAATGTAAGCGGGGGGCACTTTTCCGAACACACAACGTCTTTCTTTCACGGAATGGCCGATCCCGAATGCACCTCTGTCAGCGAAAGAATCGATCGATTCGTATGGCACGCCTCATCAGAAGGCAGGCCTATCCTCTCCTTCGTGGGGCAAGGAGAGGCTTACCTACTGAGAGGAAACAACAAGGAGGACAACACTCCGGGCCCTGCATCGGGCAGGAACAATGGTTTCGTTCGATCAAGTTGTCTTCAGCAAACCAAGGCAAGCCTTCACGGATAAGGCGTGTACACGGACTCCTCGCAGAAACGAGGCGACAAAAAAACGCAGGCAACAAAAGTAAGCTATAGACACTGCGCTTTACCTGCGGCCCCTCCTTGCTGAGCGCCTTCCACGCCGCATCCATCGGCCCTGCGTACAGCTCCGGTGACGTCATCATCCTCGTCTTTATCATGTCCATGGGGTTGGTCACCAAAGACCCCATACCCCCCGCTATCGCACCGATGACCATGTTCTCGATGGGGTTAGCCTTCGCCCCCTTCTTTTTCGTCCCTGGCGGACCTTTACGGCGAGCCGCGGCCTTCTGCAGGGTTTCGTAGACGAGCAGCGTCACCATGGCGTAGGGGATGTCTCGGGCCCATTGCATCTTGAGCCCCCCCTTGCCGAAGAACCCCAGCAGCCCTCCCTGTGGTCGCCGTGATCGGGTGCAGAGCCGAGTTAGGAACGTGGGATTGAGGCGAAGGCCCGGATTAGCTTGCTAGGCTTCTTTGCGTCTTATGTTCGTCCGCTTCATTTTTGCTATACCCGATAAAAGAAAAAGCTACTATTATATGCATAGTAGTAGCGCAAAATGAGGTAGTCACGGGAAGTACCACCGTCGACGTATTCTTCTCGCAATGCACAAGTAAGCGCACAACAATGGCTTCGAAAGCAGAAACCACAACGCATGCGGCTGCGCATGTGTTGCACAGCAGTAATGGCGACGGCAGAGCTATACAGCATTTCACCCCCATGTGAACGAGCCGGCATCATCGGGTCTCGAAATTCTCGAACACCGGATATGAGAGAATGATGCACAACGGCTGCATCTCTCGCCTCATACACAACCGTTTGGGGCAAGTGTGGGTGAAGGCCAGCAACAGGGGTCCACAGGCTGGAAACCCTACCTATTTCGTGGCAACAAACCGCGACAAAAATTGTGTGCCACCCTGTGACGGAGTTCATATCTTGCCGGCTGGTGGAATGCGTACCATGGAGGAGATCATACCAATGGTTGGCTCTACGATACCAGCCACAACGGCAGAAACAAAAGCGGCCGTTAGTGTTGTTGAAAGTTTGCTCACCTCGTTGTAGATTGACTGTATCGCCACCATGGTGGTGGGGTACTGCCCAACTTGCAGGCGTTGCTTCACGACCTCGTACGGCACTCGGAAGAAGCTGGTCGGTAACGGCACACCGTACATCGCAGCACACGACGACGCGGAGACCAGGTTGTGGTGTGGGTCGGAAAATGACACGAGAGCATGCATACAGCAGTAGACAACGATCGACTGGTGCTCAATAAGAGCTATACAAGCTGCGCTTGTTCTGGATACCGGTTTCTACACCTTCGCTTTGATTCAAGTTGATAAAGAGGGCGAGGGCAGCCCCAGAACTTGGATTTCCTGTGACGGTAGACGAATAGACCGTTTCGGTAGACGCCGTACATATCTTACCTCGCGATGAAGTTGCCCACTCCCGCACTGACGGTAATACTCAAGTACGGGGAAATGCCTTGCTTGGCATCCATCTGGTTCTTGACGAACTGGTACAAGCCGAAGTACACGCCGACCGCCGGCATCGAGCCGACCAGGGTCACCCCCAGCCCTTGGTAGAGCTCCGGCACGCCCCCCCGCGCCAGCAAATCTCTTCCCGCTTGCAGCAAAGTCATCCTGCGTACATACCACGTTTTCGCGCGGAGGTCGTTTTTTCACCGAACGAAAAGCCATCGGGCGAGAGTCAAATAATGTCGGTTCAACTTTCTCAGGCCACTTTTCGTAGTTACAACGATTGTCGCTCGATACTGCTGCTTGCTGCCGTTATGGGGCCCTGTCGGTGTCCGCTTCCAATGGGCTAAATCAACGAGTGAACGCGGACGGAGGAACCTGTAGATTTGCACTACTGCACCCTCATGCCACGAATAAATACTGCTGTCGGCGTAACATTGCCTTTGCCTGCCTTCTTTGGGTATCTTGCCTCTGCTTATAAAGTACTACATAGCCCCAACACATTTAAGCGAGTTTGAGTTTGGGGTATTTGAGCGAGAAGGACCGCCGCCCGTATATACGTATGTCCGCCCGCCCCCCTACATACCTTGTCGTGCTGAATTGCTGCACAGTCTTCATCGTATCGAACGGCTGCAGCACCGTCTTGACGCACGCTGCAGCCAACCCGCTCGCGAGGCCATTCTTGAGGCCCTCGACGGCGTTCTTCAACCTCATCCCTTGCTGCGGCGGCGACGGCGGCGGTGCCGGAGCGCCGCCGCCGCCGCCGCGTGTCAGCAGCATCGTTGACGACGACTCGTCCTTCCCGTCTCTCAGGCGCAAGGCAGTCGCAGTAGACCAAGCTTGTCGGACGAGCTGCTCGCGAGTCGACGAAAGAGATTCCAGCGGAGCAGAGAGCGTCGTCAATCGGCTGGCCAATCCAGCGTTCGTGGCAGTGGTGCCGGCTGCGGTGTTGGTGGTCTTGGCGTCTGGTTCACTCTGCGGTTCTGCCGCAGAAGCAGTCGCATGTTGTTTGGATTCGTCCAAATTCGTCGCCTCGACTCCGGTTCCACTCCCAAACGTCCTCGTTGCCGTCGAGGCGAGGCAGCCAAGGCTACCCCGAGCCCTCTCTCCTAATCTCCTTTCCCTGTTAGGCTTCCCTACGAACTGGGAGACTATCGTCTCCCGGAGCGGTCGTTGCACTTCACCTACTACGAGCTGCCTCGACCGCTGGTGCGTCTGCCTACCGAAAAACCCTCCAGCTCCTCCATTCGCAGCAGCAGCAGACAAGAGCAACAGCGTTGCGATGCAAGAATCCCATGCGGACCTCAATACCATGATTGCACGAAGTGGCACGTGGTACGAGCTGCAGTTTGACCGGCTGCGCCAAGGCAACCACCTGCTCAGCAGGGGGCACGTGGCTAGGATTTATTTTTAAAGTTTTCGTAGAAAAAACGGTGAGGGGGACGGGGTCGTTCAGGTTTTGTCCCCGCTTTTCCGCGGATCAACACCACCACAGCCCAGTAGCAGCCCTCGCCCTGAGCTACCATGGTCATCAAGACGGAGGTCTGCGCGTTCTCGGACACCCGTATCTACCCGGGGCACGGTGTGCGCTTCATCCGCAGGGATGGGCAGGTGAGCGAGACGATCGCAAGCTCGGAGACCCAATCTCACCCAAGAGCCTTACAATTTTTGGTGCCCTTGGTTGCCAAGCAGCAGCAGGGGAGCAAGAGTAGAGGCAGTAGGCTTTCCCTGTGGAGTGACGTTGTCGCCAGACGTTTGGCATTAATGCGTGGGTGAAGCACTGTCGGCGGGTAGAACTGTTGTGCACAGCTGCAAATGTATTGCCTCCATCTTTCACCTGACTTGTTTTTAGCGTATCCTCGCGGTCCAGGAACGGGCTTGTTTTTGGGTGGTCGCTCTGACCCGTCGTGTGTCGCCTGTGTCCGCCGGACGTCGTCGAGTGTCGCTCCTGCCAACCGTAACTCCTTTCATATTCGGCGCTCATGGGTGCTATCGCTGCCTTTGCCTGTGCTCCTGTGTGTTTTTCTTGCCCTGGAATGTTTGGTGTTTTCCTATTGATCGCAGCCCATCACCCTCTTCTCGGCTAAGTGCAAGAGCTTGCTGAAGCAGAGGAAGAAGCCGGCGAAGCTGACTTGGACCCAGGTGAGACAAACTCACGAAACGCGTCGCATGTCCAGAGGGTTGTTTTCAGCAGCAGGTGGCTAGAAATGCACGCTCGGCTTGACGAAGCTGTTGGGCAGAAATACGTTTTATGCAAAATGATGGCAGCACGATAAGGGTACGATTTAGTACACCCATGAGTTGCGTATGATACCACCCACACCCAGACCGATGTTCAGCTTGACTCTTCAGCAGTACACCAGTGACTGCTGTGCCGAGAATGGCGCCGTTGGAACCGTCTCGTCGAGATGTTTCCCAAGAAGCTGATCGTTCGACTGTGACACCCTGTTGGTCGTGGGATAATCGAGCCATGAAAGTCGGTCTGGGGGGCGTGGGCATCATACGTACATTCTTTGGAGAGAGTAGCATGGGTACTCGTTAGGAGCAGGCACGATGCGGCGTTACAAAGAGAGAACCCTCCCTCGTCTCTTGTTTGCGCGGCGCCTGCCAACAGCAGTGCGGCTGGCGTGCTTTCATTGTTTGTCTCCACGTTAACAACCGTTATTCCGGTCTTTGCTCAGTACCATATGTAGCCGTTTATTCTTGTGTGGAAGCACGTGCGTGGCCTTTGCACACGCGGCCGCCTGTGGGTTGGTCCGCCGAATTGGCCGTCATGTTTGGTCTCATGCGTGCTGAGTTCCGATGAACAACGAAGCCTAACAACTTGTTTGTTGGATCTTTTGCATTGATGTTTGGGTGGAAACCGTTTTTTTCAGGCATGGAGGCGCCTCAACAAGAAGATCAAGGTGGAGGAGGTCACCCGCCGCCGGTAAGCGACACGGAGACAAAGAAGCAAACTCCGCGATGCACGATAAAAAATTTGCTGCGCTAGTTGGCTGCAGAAGGTTGTCTGACGCTCTCGTCCATCTGCACTAGCTCGCGTCTGCGCGGTGAATGCCGAAGAAGGGATTAGAATCAAGTCCAACTCCTTCGTCGGCATTAATCGAGCAGACGTTGTGCTAGTGGAGATGGACGGGAGCGTCAGACCACCTTGACTGCAGCTGTCTCCACCCAGGTCGACGTGAAACGCAGTTTTGGCGCCGGTTTTTCCTTCTAGTCTCGCGTCGGGACTCGCCGCAATTAACAAAGGACCTTTACCTTTTCCTTCGTCGGTACTCGTCCCGTAGACGTGCTGGTGTCTATTCGCCTCTGCTCGTTCCATTTTTTTTTTTATGCCATCCGGCGAGCTCTTTCGGTGGAATGGTTGGCTGTTTTTTTGGTTGTACGACGCACGTGCATCTCTATTGCGAAAGCCTACCTTTGTTCTTGCCGTGTATTAAATAGCTTTGTTGCGTCCCTACTGTAGCCTTCTTTATCTCGGCGAAAACGAATTTCTGTTATTTCACTTTGTTGGAAAACACCGCGCCATACTTTTGCGTCATAAAATGCCTGAAGCATTTTTAAAGGTGACTTGATGTAGATACACGGCGGCAAGCGGATGCAGCAGAAAGGGATACATCTTGTGTCCGGCTGTCTCTCTGTTGAAAGTGCAACTTCCCTCCCCTCATTCCAAAAATACGCGCTCTTTCCTTCAAAAGTCGCGGGTTCTCCGTTCGCTTCGTGATCCGTCACGCGTGTTTTTGCGTCCTTGTTTTTTTGTCTCCGTGTCCACTGACGACCGACCTCACAGCACCCGCAAGACCACCAAGCTCAACCGCGCTATCGTGGGAGCCTCGCTGGAGGAGATCAAGAAGAAGCGCAGCCAGAAGCCCGAGGTCCGCAGCGCGCAGCGCGAGGCGGCCGCCAAGTGAGTGCAGTCGCATCAGGCAGGCTGTCCTGTGTAGGTGGTCTTGGTGCTTCTGATGTGGCCGCATCCTCTCGCGTGCTGCTGGGAAATGTTGCCTCCCATTATTTGCAGCAATGGTGGTCGTGTCTAGACAGCAGTGGGAGGGAGTGCAGTGCGGTGTGGCGTGAGTGAAGCTGCCCCCTGCGGTGTGTGCCCTCCCGCTGCTGCTTTGGATGACGTTGTCGGTGGTGCACCTGGCGTGGGTGGTTGTGCATCGTCCTCGATGCCGCGTCTTGGCAGCAAGGGCCCCGCACAGCAACTATATTCTCGATGATAGTGAGGTGATAATAGTTGCCGCTTTGTTCCACTTACCAGCCAGGTGCGGAGAACACTCAAAAGTCTACACGAAGCCTGGCCTTCACCTTAGCGCGTAGCGCCAAGGCTCCACCCACACACAGACCTGCGAGCACAGTTGTTCCCGCGAAGCCGCCTTATCGGCGATGTAGTATGCCGATGAAAGCAAGCAGATACTTGCTGGTCTTGGGTGGTGTCTGTCAGGACAGTAAACCGGTACCGTTCAGGCGTCCACCATGTTGTCCTCTCAAGGCGTACAACACCGACGGAAAAGCTTGTCCGGAGGCGTGCGAGCAGGCCGTTGTCCCATGAAACACGTGTAACGATACCCTTTTTTTCGGTTTTTCTTCCGCCGGTGCCGCAGGGAGGTGAAGGCACGCAAGGCCGCCAACAAGGCCGCGAAGGGCTCTGCCGCGGCGATGAAGGCCAAGCCCACTGCTTCCAAGCAGAAGGGCGGCAACACCAAGTACGTTGTCGCGCACCGGTGTATGCGTTACGACTACGTAGCACATGCGTGTGTGGTACATAGATGTACATAGATTGGGTCTGTTTTTAGAGAGAAAGGGTTCGGGTACACGGATGTTGTTATATCTTTTTGCATGTGGGTGGATTTGTGATTGCTGTGGTCGTTTCTCATCCTTTTCTTGTTGACCGGGGTCACTCTTGCGCGCTTGTTCGTGTCGTGAGCGTTGTCCGTTTTGTTGAGAGGGCGCCCTGTCCGGTGTTGTTCGTTTCGAACCGGGCGAACACATTTCCTCTCTCATGAAAACACCCCCCCAGCTTTATTTTCCTGTACTCGTCCCCTCCCTCTAATCGTGGTGTGATTCTATCTCTCTCGGTGCTACGATAAAACTGCACAGGGCCCGCGGGGGAGCCAAGCGCTAAGGCTGTCATCAAGCCAAGACAGACCACTCCGTCTTGCGTTGCCGCTGATTCTTCGGCAAAGACGCATGATGGCGACGGCTGCCCGAAGAGTTTGCTGAGAGCTTCGTGCGAGTCTGCTGCGTCCTTGCGCCTTCACTAGGCAGGGGAATAGATGGCTGGCTCAAAGCGACTGAACTCGTTGCTGCTACTTTGTGCTCTTGTCTTGGCATCTGCTCTGCTCGGGTTGATGCAGGGGTGGATGGGATGCGCTGCGTGGGCCTAGTTTTTTGCCAGCCGCATGCGAATTTCGATTTAGTGGGTGCGCTTGATTCGTGTCGCTAGGATCGTTTATCGCTGCTGCTGCTGCGAAGCACTGGGTGGGTGGGGGCGAAAAAGACAAAAAAAACAAAAGAAAAAAAAATGATTCCTCGATTTTGACTCATTTTTTTGTCGTTCTGGCAAAAAAAAACTCGAGTTGATGTGAAAAAAAGGTCCCGTTTTCTCGTGTCAGGTCGCAACGTCATTGCGGTTCGACACCAAAGCGCTCGAGAAAAGAATGGGAGTCGTGCTGCTGGCCAAACGCCATGGCGTCACGTCGGGCGGTCTGCAGTACAGTTGCCCCAGAGCCTAATTTGTGGCAACCTATTGCTGCTGTTACGGCTAAGCTTGGCCGCTTTCCACGAGTTTTTGACGGTCCCTCAACACGTGCCATCTATCAGTTGTTGCTAATATTGCCTTCTGAGGGGCGGCGGTGACATCATCGGATATTTCAGCAGGAAAAACAAAGCACGCATCCGCGCTCACGAAACTACACTTTCGCTGAGTCATGCCGATTGTGCACACAGACGGACAACACTTGATCTGCCACAACGGCCTTCTTCTTGCTTCGCCAGCTACCCTACTCCTCTCCCTCTAAATAAATACCTCTGCAACCGTGGGAGGACCTATGCATACTTCAGCTGTAGAGGGTGCGCAAGACAGCTAGTCGAAAGAACCCGTAAATACTGCAACTCGCGGACAAGCATGATTCGCACACTACTTGTAGCCAGACCTGCGGTAGCGTGTCGGTAGTGTGCGAACCACTGCTGTCATTGTTGCTTTCACCAAAAGTGTTCGTGCCAGTTGAACACCTGTGTTCCACGACTTCCCGGCTTAGGGTTGTGGGGAAGGGAGGGGCCCCGACCTCAACGCACGTCTGTCTACCTTGACACTGTGAAGTGTTCGTGAAGCAGCAGGATCACGGTTAGATACACACGAAACAACAAAGCATAGGGACTGTTGTCGAAGCTCACAGCTCGCATGGTCTGAAGTTTATCGGGTGTTTGGGGGCCGTTGGCCAAAAAGCTTGATCGATAGTAGCCCCCTCCCCCGCGGCCCTCTACGACCTCGAAGACGTCTGGGCATCAAAACACATCATACACTATGCCCACCCGTTTTTACCGAAACACCTCCTGTCTCTCTCCCAGTATTTACGGGCTGCGTCCTGTGTACTGTACCATTAGAAAAATATATTGATACATGTGTAATCTAGTCTAGACAGCTTTTGGCGGCGTCTTTGTACGTGAACTTCGAAATTTCCAATCAGCCGTTCTCTTGCACGCCCGTCGAAGACCTTAGAACCACGAACAAACTATTTTGCCGTTACAGCTGTGTGTGAAAACATAGAGAGAGCTATATAAATTCAGACAAAAATCCTGTACATCGACCATCTGGCGGGTAATCGTTCACGCAAACATCGCATAATTTCATTCACTTGATGCTGTTCTTGCTTGTTCGTGGAGAATCGTTACACTACACATGGCCGACACGTACTTCGACATTAAAGACTAGACGACGCAAATCAACCGCAAATGTAAATCATGTCTTGCATCTTACGCCTCGGGGACGAGCGAAAGGCGGTAGGTTTTTATCTCCATCGGGCCGAGGCTAACCGTCGACTTCCCGTCGCTGCCAACACCGAGAAGCCCGTCCACATGAGGCGGTTCATCACCACCGCCTTCTTCAGCTGACACGGACTCTTCCTCTCCACCAGCAGTCATCGCTGTCGTTGACGTCCACTTAAGCCTCTGCGTGCGGGAGGAGAGAGCACCGCCTCCTGTGAGCGCGATCTCGGTGGCCTTTACGAGGGTGTGTCCGAGGACGAGCCGCGACAAGTCCACCGAAGCGGGGAGAGAAAGAACCGCGTCTTCCCCCTTGGCGTAGCGGTGGGCGAGACGAACCTGTGGGCGGCAAGAGACAATCAGGTCGAGGGCAATCAGTGCGAGGGCGAGAAGAAAAAAGGGGGGAGCAACTTGCTGAAACAGAAACACCTCCTCCATTACCAGGGTGTTGAAGACTGGATTCAACAAAACTAGATAGGGCCGCTGGTCTTCTCGTTTCTTGTGCATCCATGTTCCCATTTCGTGGGTTGCTCGGTAAGACTGGACACCGAACACTCCTAAAGAACTATGAGTCAAAAAACAGTTCTACAACAACTCCCTTTTCGGGCATTCTTGCTGCGGAGCTTTTCCTACCAGGAGGGTGAGATCGCCGAGCCCTGGCGCCTGGTTGCCTCCCCCACCCGCCCCGCCGCCGCCATGGTGCCCCCGTCCTTCTTCTTCTTCGTCTTCCTCGCCGGACACCCGCATGAGCGTCATCAACCCTACGTTGGCGGGGAGGGCGCGTCGCAACAGGCCTCCACCGAGGGGATGGGTGATGTCTGTCGTGCCCGTCTCTCGCAGTGATCTTCTTGACGCTGCCGTTGCTGCGGCAGAAGCCGCTACCACCTCTTCTGCTTCCATTGCGTGCGACGTTGCTGTTGACGTCGCTGCTTCCTCTGTTGTTGTTGCAGCGCTTCCGCCCACGGTGCCGCCTTGGGGTGGCAGGGGATATCCGTCGGCACGCCCGACTTCGTGTCCGAACGCCGGGAGGAATGGGCTGAAAACCTGCACTCGTACGGACATCGGACAGTCACAACCAACAGTGAGAGAGAATCACCACGTATTGCGACGTAGGGAAGAAAGCAAGGCTGGGGGAGAGTACGAGTGGGTGGGTGAGGGGATCATGAGCGAAAACATTTTTTTGGAACTGAGCACCCCTCGTGACAGGGGTGATGCGGGGACGTGTAGTACTGGCGGGGACCAAAGCCCTTGGCAACTCACGCCTCCAACTACAATGGAAACAGTTAGTTGTGGAACCATCGACGATCTCTCGAAATTTCCTCAAGTGCAACGTTTGTTATCCAGAGCTCTTCAGCCCTCGACAACTCTATGTAACATTCCTTTTGCTCCTTCTGGGGGAGAGAGGGGGGGGGGGGGGGGGGGTGTACTCATAGTCGTGCATGCCGTAGTCGTTTGACCATTGACCTCGCATCCCTACAAAGCCGGGACGGAGCACGCCGGGTTCTCA